TTTTATGCACGGAATAATAAGACCAATCAATAGGTGCAAAGAAAACACAGTTGCAAAAGACGTATGTAGTTTTCAAGAAGCAACTGCCCAGCAAACATTATAATTGCTATATAACACGTAAATAACGTGCATGTAACATGTAACATACACGTTAGTTGTAATTTCCCACTTATGGATTCTATTATTTATTGTAATTATAGATAGGATAGTGACTTAGCGAAAGATTATCTTTCGGCATCCTACAATATCGATGCTATCTGGGATGTAATTACAATATATAAATAACATATGTCATATTACAAATGTTACATCTATGAATGAGAAATTACCGTATATGTTACATGTAACATGCACGTTATATAGTATTATATACATGTAACATAGCAGTTATATTTTGTGTTTGCTGGGTGCATTTTCTTTACACCAAATTGGTCTCATTATTATGTGCATAATAATAAAAAGTATGATAACGTAAAACTGAATATTTTACAAAGATATAATTTTATGTCAAACAATTGCTTCGAATCTTTATAATTCAAAAAGTACTTCATGAAAAAATGTTTTATTATAATGCTTTGGAAAGCTGTCGAGATAAGCTACAAGAATATCTAATAAAAAATAAAGGTTTTTAAAAAGTTGACCTATAAATGATCTCAAAATTTGACACCTAGGTAAAAGTCAACACCTTTAGTATTTTTTTCATAAGACCACTATTTTCGGAGATAATTGGCCATTGCCAGATTTTTTAATCACCATGTACATATTATATATATGTTTATGCATGGATATATGCATCTATATACATGTATATATATGTATATATTTCTTACATATATAAATGCATGCATAAATGCATACATACCATATACATATACAAATACATATACACATACATGTATACACATACGTGTATGGTATAAGCATACGTGTATGGTACGTATATTGATATTACCTGTAATTTTCTATAAATTACAATGTATGCAGTACGCACAATTCGCTTTTCTTCTCTTATCAATAATTGAGAAAATAGCAAATATATTCAAATAACTAGCTGTATATTTTTATATAATATAACAGAATATTATATAATATACAAAACATTTTTATGCATATATAGAATGAAATGGGCCCCTCCATCGCCCATTCCCGTGAGAACGCAACCATAATATATGTATTTTTTTCGTCTCTCCGATTTTTGCAAATGAGACATTTGTATTAGACACTTTTTTGCAACAATATTTATTAGAATTACACATTTCTAGTATAATGATAAAATTTTATTAGTTAGGAAAAGGTGACAGTTTATTTTCTGCTATAATTTTTAAGAAATGTTGTCTCATACGTTTAACATCAGCAGAATATGTCTCATTACAAGGATTTTCTCCTAAAGCTATAGTTGTAGCAAATGCGGCAGCAAAGATTCCACAACATATACCATCAGGTTGTGTTTGAACGTTTTCAAATATTATATTATTTTTATTTATTTGTGGATAACGGCGATGAATGTAATTTTTTTCTTTAGCCTTCAATGTTTCGTATGTACAGCCAGATAGATTGTCGTACACTCGAAGCTTGGTGCCGTCAAAAGAAATACATCGCCAGTGATTACTGCAATTTTCTCCAATAATTTGTAAGCTTTTGTCGTTACAACTTGCTTCAATTATATGAGGATATAAAATATCTTTTTTTTAATAACTAGAACGCACATGCAAATCGTTCTGGGAGAAGATATTTTAGAAACAACTAACAGACGAATAAATCGTCTCTGATATAAAATATCTTTTTTTAATAACCAGAACGCACATGCAAATCGTTCTGGGAGAAGATATTTTAGAAGCAACTAACAGACGAATAAATCGTCTCTGATATAAAATATCTTTTTTTAATAACCAGAACGCACATGCAAATCGTTCTGGGAGAAGATATTTTAGAAGCAACTAACAGACGAATAAATCGTCTCTGATATAAAATATCTTTTTTTAATAACCAGAACGCACATGCAAATCGTTCTGGGAGAAGATATTTTTAAAGCAACTAACAGACGAATAAATCGTCTCTGATGTAAAATATCTTTTTTTAATAACCAGAACGCACATGCAAATCGTTCTGGGAGAAGATATTTTTAAAGCAACTAACAGACGAATAAATCGTCTCTGATGTAAAATATCTTTTTTAATAACTAGAATGCACATGCAAATCGTTCTGGGAGAAGATATTTTAGAAACAACTAACAGACGAATAAATCGTCTCTGATGTAAAATATCTTTTTTTAATAACTAGAACGCACATGCAAATCGTTCTGGGAGAAGATATTTTAGAAACAACTAACAGACGAATAAATCGTCTCTGATATAAAATATCTTTTTTTAATAACCAGAACGCACATGCAAATCGTTCTGGGAGAAGATATTTTAGAAGCAACTAACAGACGAATAAATCGTCTCTGATGTAAAATATCTTTTTTTAATAACCAGAACGCACATGCAAATTGTTCTGGGAGAAGATATTTTTAAAACAACTAGCAAACGAATGGATCATCTTTGGCATGAAATATCTTTTTTTGTTACTACTGCAACTTTATAACTATTATTATTACTATTGTACTATTGTAACTACTATTTATTATTACTATAATATTTCTACTACTAACAACTATTTAAAATAAGTAAGACACTGCTTTATTTTTAGAAATTGTTACTTTTAGAAAATATGTATATATATATTATGTAAAAAAAATTTATAACAATTGAACCCCATAAATATTGAATAAGAATGAAGGAGGTGTCATTAGAATATCGCAAAAATTTTATAGATGGAGAAAATCTTGCAAATTTTAGAATCATCTTTATTTTTCGAATAATCTCAAGAATACAGTTTCACTGTGGATATCACGTTGCAGGACATCCTGCGTATATATACACATACATACATACATTCATATATATATATATATATATATATACAGGGTGTCCCATAATTCGCGAACCACCGCGAATGGGCAGATAGAGCGTGTTGAACTGAATAGAAAAGTCCTGTATCATTTTACGATATTCGCAATAATTATTAAGTTATTTATTAAAATATCTAAACGAATAAGCAGGTAGAAAGCATTATTTGATCAAGAGGCGGCGTCATGCAGCAAGCGGCGACCAATGTAGTGGCGCCGAAAAGTAAGATGATACTTTTGATACTAAGCGGCATATAACAAATAAGTCATCCGACATGCACACCGAGTCCGGCCTACCGCTTTCTACCCGCTCATTCGTTTAGATATTTTAGTTAATAACTCAATAATTATTGCGAATATCGCAAAATGATACAGGACTTTTCTATTCAGTTTAACACGCTCTATCTGCCCATTCCCGGTGGTTCGCGAATTATGGGACACCCTGTATATGAATGTATGTATGTATGTATGTATGTATGTGTATTGTAAGAAATATATTCCTACCGGTTGCTGCGGCCACCATATACCGGGTGGCGCATGCGCGTGCACAGGCGCACCCCGTGCTCTGACAGAAAGGAATGAGGAGAGCGCGAGCGGACGGCACTCTCCTTCGAGAAGCGAGCAAGATAAGTTTGCGAGAGTCGTATAGAGTGTATACTTTTCGGAATAAACATACGTTGTCTGACAGCTTAAGTGTTATTCAGTGATATCCTCGAGCGCTGCATCCTCCTCTGGGCTACCTTTTGATAATCAAATAGATACTCCATCCTGGACATTTAATAATAGTTTTATTGAAAGTATTTCGGTTATGTTCTTACATCTCAGAAGTGGGATCTGGATCACTCGAGGCAGCGATGGATCGCGCGGCATTGGAAAAGCTCACAGTGGAGCAGTTGAGGCAGGAGACGGCAAAGTACAGGCTGCCTACAACAGGAAGGAAGTTCGAGCTTATCGAAACTTTGATAGGCCATTTCCAGAGCCACGCTCCAGTGGAAGACCTAATAGGGCTTGCAGCGATGGAGGTAAGCTCCGGGAATAGGGTGGTTCCGTCACAAGAAGCGGGCCCAGCAGGAGGACCGGCTCCAGCGAGCGAGGCTGGCCCGTCGGAACGAATGGACCCCCTCCAACAGGTGGTCGCCGCCCTCCAAAGAGTAATCAGACGACAGGATGAAGAGCGGGAGGACCAGAAGCGCTTCTTCGAGGAGCAGCAAAGAAGCTTCGCTCAACTCCTAGAAGTATTCTCGGGGCGAAGCAACTCTGGAGCACCGGAGAGGAACAGCGCCCCAATACGAGGACCGCCGGAGCGTGAACCATTGCGCTCGCCGGCGGAATCTCCTCCGATTTCAGAGGGACGATCCTCGTGGTCGTCCGGCTCGGCGATCCAGGCATTGGCCTCCCAAATACCAGAGTTCGCTGGTAAGGAGGAGGACAATGTCCGTACGTGGATAAGGAGGGTCGAGAAGGTGACCCTGGTCCACGGAGCTAGCGACGGAGTCGCGCTGCTGGCAGCATCAAGTAAGCTGTCCGGATCGGCTCGCCGGTGGTTCGACGTCCAGAGCGGAGCGGCGGTCGAATCGTGGATTGGCCTCCGCGATGAAATGGTCAAGATGTTCGATCAGAAGGTCCCCTTCTTCAAGGTGATGCAGCGCATCGAGGCCCGGAAGTGGCAGTCGGGCCGGGAGACCTTCGACGAATATGCCATACACAAGTTGGCAATCATGCATCGGGCAGACCTAGCAGAGACGGACCGGATACATCTGCTGGTAAGCGGCATCACGCAGCCGTCGCTAAGAGGCATTGCGCTCTCGGTGTCAGCAGAGACGATGGACGTCTTCCTGGAGCATATGCGCCGGATCACCCAGGGCATGGGAGACCCGGACAAGAAGCAAGCGGCGGGCAGCTCGACAGCCAAGCCGAAGGACTCCACCTGCAGGAACTGCGGGAAGAGAGGTCATGGGCATAAAGAGTGCAGAGGTGAGGTCAACTGTTTTTATTGCAAGGAGAAGGGCCATCGTCGCTTCGATTGCCCCCTCCTCAAAAAAAGGAAGCCAAAACACAGAAATTAGCAACTACTTCGGCGGTAGCAGCCGGGGTCTCCGAGGAAGGTCTCCAGGCAGAAGTAGTGGCAGCCGTCAGGGACCGACATCACCGGCTCGTCGTGGAGGATCCTCTCGTTTGCGTGGACAGCCTGTTGGGTGAGAGGAAAAAATGGTTAGCCTTAATAGATACAGGAAGCCCCGTCTCGTTTGTAAAACATAGCGTTTATTGTAAATTTATCAAACCAAAGAGCGTTAAATTGAATCCGTCGGATCGCGTATTAAAGAATTTGAACGATCAATCCTTGGAAACTTTCGGAACAGTCTCGGTACAAATATCTCTAGAAAAAATGCCCGGAATGTTGTTCGACTTAACGTTATTTGTCCTGAATAGCGATTTCTTCCAAGCGGATTTTATATTAGGTCGCGACTTCTTGACAAACGAAAAGCTGACGTTGGTATTCGAGCCTACCGCGCAAGGGCAGAAAAACACGGTCGAGTTGTTTGCCCGTCTACCCTTGTGCGTCGAGGATCACGATACCGACATCGAGCAAACAATAGACAACCTTGCGACTGACTTTGATTCGGAAACGGAAAAACAATTAAAAAAAGAAATAACAAAGATAGAGAGTAGACCAGTCGTACCGGTAGATGACGGGTACACAGTACAGGTCCGGCTCAGGGACGAATCCGTCTACGCGTATGCCCCGCGGAGATTCGCCCACAGCGAACGCCTTGAGATGCGCCGGATCGTGGATGACCTACTCCGACGCGGTATAATCCAGCCCAGCGTCTCGTCTTATTGCGCCAGGGTCGTCCCTGTAAGAAAAAAAAACGGTAGCATGAGATTATGCGTTGACCTACGGCCACTTAACAGTCGAATTATAAAACAAAATTCCCCTTCCCGGTAATAGAGGAATGTCTCGCAAGACTCGGGGAGGCGAGAGTATTCTCGTTAATAGATCTAAAAGACAGCTTCCATCAGATTCGAGTACACGAGAACTCAACGAAATACTTCGCGTTCGCGACCCCGGATGGGCAGTATGAATACAAGTTTTTACCGTTCGGGTATAGCGAAGCCCCGGCCGAATTTCAGAAGAGATTGTTTCAAATATTGAATCCAATGATCAGAGAGGATAAGGTAGTCGTGTATATGGACGACGTGCTCATCCCGTCCAAGACGGTCGGAGAAAATATAACGGTATTAAAGGAAGTAATGTTAATTCTCAAGAAATACGGGTTTCAATTAAATTTGTCGAAAAGTAAATTCCTTAAAAAAAGGGTTGAGTTCCTCGGATATATCGTCTCGCAAGAGGGGATAACATTAAGCTCACGACACACGGAGGCGGTGAAAAATTATAGTCAGCCGAAAGATCGCTTGCAGTTACAACGCTTTTTGGGTCTAGCAAATTATTACCGGCGGTTTATAAAAAATTTTGCGGGAAAGGCACGACCATTGCAAAATTTGTTAAAGAAGGACGTTGTTTTCGGCTTTGACGACGAGTGTGTCGAAGCGTTTAATAAAATAAAAACGGAACTCACTTCGGCGCCCGTATTGCGGCTGTATAACCCAGCCGCAGAAACGCAACTGCACACCGATGCATGCCACACCGGGTTCGGCGCGATCTTGCTCCAAAAGCAGTCCAATCGGTCGTGGGCACCGGTAGCATATTTCAGCCAGGCCACCAAAGACGCTGAAAGCAGATATCATAGTTACGAGTTAGAAATGCTAGCAGTCGTGCGAGCGATAGAACGGTTTCACCTATATCTATATGGTGTATATTTTACCATCATAACGGATTGTAATGCGGTCGTTTACGCGGTTAAGAAAGCGAATCTTAACCCACGGATCGCTAGGTGGACGCTGGCTCTTCAAAATTATAATTTTGAGATAGCTCACCGGCCTAGCACTCGTATGTCCCACGTCGACGCCCTTAGCCGCAGCATAGCGTACGTAAACGAGCTCCCCCTCGAGCGCGAGCTTGAATTCCGCCAACTAACCGACCCTAAAATTAAACAAATCAGTCAAGATCTGGAAGTACGAGAAGACAAGCGCTTCAAATTAATAGATGGACTGGTTTACCGATGTGAAGACGAGGGCGAGAAATTCGTAGTACCAGAATCCATGGTGATAAGCATTTTGCGAGCTTACCACGATGATATGGCACACTGCGGCGCAGAGAAAACCCTCGCTGGAATAAAACAAAATTATTGGTTTCCATCCATGCGTAAGAAAACATATGACTATATAGAAAATTGTCTCACCTGTCTCATGTCAAATAATTCCACACGGAGATTAGAGGCGGAGACTGCACTATATCCTTTGCCCAGGGCGCCACTGCAAATCCTCCACGCTGACCATCTCGGTCCGCTACCAGCTACATCTACAAATAACAAACACATATTAGTTATAGTGGACGCTTTTACTAGATTCACGTGGTTATTTGCGACCAGGTCTACAGGGTCGAAAGAGGCTATAGATCATATAGAAAAATTACTTAACTTATTTGGAAAACCGATGGAATTAGTGACAGACAGAGGCACGGCCTACACATCACATGAATTTGCAGAGTATACTGAGAAGAAAAAAATAAAGCATCGGAAAATAGCAGTAGCGGCACCCTGGGCCAATGGTATAGTAGAGAGAGTTAATAGATTTATTACAAGTTCTCTCACTAAACTACTCGACTCCCCTGCAGATTGGAGTCAATATCTAGGGTCGCTACAGTATATCATAAATAATACATACCATTCAAGCATCAAGACGAGCCCCTCAAAACTCTTGCTTGGCTACGATCAGCGTAGCCACGTTGATTTTCCTTTCGCACGGTTCACGCAAGCCTTAGCAGATGTAGACTCGGATCTGCAAAAGGAGAGAGAAATTAGTAGGGAAGCAGCCCTTCAGGCAACAGAAGAAATTCGTAATTACAATAAGATGTATCGAGACAAGCACAGCGTGAAACCCTCAATATACAGTGAGGGCGATTATGTAGCAATAAGAGATACGCGTCCCACACCTGGGGTTAATCCTAAACTAAAGGCGAAATACAGAGGTCCCTACCTGGTCGCCAAGAGCCTTGGAAATAATCGATATGTCATCCGTGACATCCCAGGCTTCAGTTTGACAACCAGACCGATGGACACCATCCTCTCAAGTGACAAGATCAAGCCGTGGATACGAATAAAGGGGCCTGAAAATAATCAAAAGCAATAATGCTGTTAAACTTTTCGTCAGACCTTAGACCCTAAGAATCTTATTTTGTAAATTAGTGTGAACGTATTATAACGTAAGTTATAAAAGTAAGACAAAGACAGCATACTGACTGTACAATACAAACCCTGTAAATAACGAAGAGAAGCCAACAACCAAATGATGTGTAAACCAAAACAACTAGCCCCCGGAAGCCCATAATGGCGATCGAGCGCGCGTAACTTTGTGCAATATTGCATAACGAAGTAAACTATTGTAAAATACGGTGCCGATAAAACAGCACTCCTAACTTACCACCGAGACGGTGGCAAGGTCAGGAAGGCCGAGCTGTAAGAAATATATTCCTACCGGTTGCTGCGGCCACCATATACCGGGTGGCGCATGCGCGTGCACAGGCGCACCCCATGCTCCGACAGAAAGGAATGAGGAGAGCGCGAGCGGACGGCACTCTCCTTCGAGAAGCGAGCGAGATAAGTTTGCGAGAGTCGTATAGAGTGTATACTTTTCGGAATAAACATACGTTGTCTGACAGCTTAAGTGTTATTCAGTGATATCCTCGAGCGCTGCATCCTCCTCTGGGCTACCTTTTGATAATCAAATAGATACTCCATCCTGGACATTTAATAATAGTTTTATTGAAAGTATTTCGGTTACGTTCTTACAGTATATATACGCAGGATGTCCTGCAACGTGATATCCACAGTGAAACTTTGTATTCTTGAGATCATTCAAAAATAAAGATGATTTTAAAATTTGCAAGATTTTCTTTATCTATAAATTTTTTGCGATATTCTAATGATACCCCTTTTATTCTTATATACTATATATATATATACACACACACGCGCGCACACACACACACACACACACACACACACACACACACACACATATATATATATACAGGGTATCCCAAAAAGATCGGAACACTGAAAAATCTCGAAAAGTATACGTTTTACAGAAAAAAGTTTTAGACAAAAGTTATAAAAAATCTATTCATTGATCTGATCAGTTTGACCTTGGACAGTGTTACCAAGAATAAGGTTACCTTAAATTTCTTAGATGGAATCCTATATTTTTTATTACATATTCTTGTAGCTTATCTCGAGGGCTTTCCAAAACACTATAATAAAATTATTTTTCATAAAGTGCTCTTTGAGTTATAAAGGTTAGAAGCTAACAATTTTTTGACATAAAATATATCTTTATAAAATATTCCATTTTCGATAATCATACCTACTTTTTTGCACAGTATAATAAAAAATCAATTTATTAAAGAAAACAGATAATTGAATATGTAATATTCAATATGCAGCAGCATACTTTTTTTTATAAGCAACTATGTGTTTTTTTACACCAATTCATTGGTCTCATTATTCCGTGCAAAAAAGATATGATTACCGAAAATGGAATATTTTACAAAGATATTTTACATTTTATGTCAAAAAATTGTTAGCCTTTATAAATCAAAGAGTACTCCATAAAAAATAATTTTATTAGTGTTTTGGAAAACTCTCCAGATAAGCTACAAGAATATGTAATAAAAATTATAGGATTCCATCTAAAAAATTCAAAGTGACCTTATTCTGACCTTGGTAACGCCGTCCAAGGTCAAACTGATAAGATCAATAAATACATTTTTTATAACTTTTGTCTGAAACTTTTTTCTGTAAAACGTATACTTTTCGAGATTTTTCAGTGTTCCGATTCTTTTTGGGACACTCTGTGTATATATATATATATATATATATATATATATATATAATATATATACACATACCTATTGATTTATTTAGCAATCTGTCTATCTATCGAACTATCTATCATCTATCGATTAACCTATCTATCTATCTATCTATCTATCGATCTATCTGTCTCTTCTCTCTTTTCTACATTGCATTCTTTTATATATGCACACGTATATAATAATTTTTTAAAAATATTGTACATTACAAAAGTAAAAATAATTAAATTTATAATCTAAAAATATATAAAAATTTTTTATGAATATAATGATTACAAAGATTTAGTAGATAATTTTTTGTAATAAATAAATTATTTATATGATTTAGTTGTATCTAACTACTGCTCTGTTTTGATAATAATAGCATTATTATGTATTCAATCTCTAAAATACTTTTATATAAATCATTTATTACAAAGAATTATTTACTTTATAATCAATTATAATTATTATAGATAGGCCTGTTTATACACATACACATATTGTTTGAGATGTTAAGTAAAATTTTTGTAAATTCTAGAATTTTCCATCCGCGTCAATAATAAAAGTCACGGTCTTTTTTGTATGTTTGTCACGGAAAAAAGTTGTCATAAATTAAACCTGTCATCTCATAAACATTTTTTGCACACAAACAATTAACGGTATCACAACCGTTCCGCTGAATAATTATTTTCAGTGAGCATGCGCGGCTTACCACGGGCGCCTCTTTTCACCAATAATTATCGCGATCGCCCGCGCGCGCATGCTTTCTGCCAGCCGTCTTCCGTTAATTTTGACAGCGGCCAATAATGAGCTGTGCCCTCGAGTCACCTCGAGCACACTTAAAATTGCTCGCAATAATTGGCGCTTCCCGAAAAAGTGAGTTTTCTTCGGAAACCCATAAAAGAGAGCTCGCACCCGAAATCCGCGCCTTATCGCTTTCCGCAGTGACCGCATAACGCAAAACCGCATATTATTTTGATCCGCTAAACTCTCGTTGACGACCGCCGCTTATTCCGCACTTTGTTCTCGATTATACTTTCACTGAAATATTTAAATGTTATAAGTCTTGTTCAAGTAATTTGTAATTAAGTGTGTATTGAAATTAAACTTTTTTTAATACAAAAGAAAGGGTGACTTATCCTATTGTGTCGCGCGATCCTCTCTCACGCAGCGCGTTCGCGAACATATTTTTGGTCCTTCGAGCCGGAGCCATCGTGCCGGCATCCGCAAGTTTGTGAACGTGTCTCTTGGTGCGGTCAGTGAGCTCGTAGTTCGACATGGATGTGAACACCTTGATCGATTGCCAACGTGAGGTCCAAGTCCGTATTTCACGCTCCGTGGAATACTTGAAGAAGCTGGGCACGACCAACATCACCGCCAGTGCCGTATCTACGCGCATCAGGATCCTAGATCAGCTGTGGACGAAATTTGAGGCCCAGCATGATCTCATTCGCGCGGCTCTGAAAGAGAAGTTTAGTGACAGCGAATACTTCAAGTCGGAGTTGCATGGAGATACTGAAAATCTTTACGTGGCACAACGCAGTATCCTGGATGGCTACGCTGAACATTTCCGGAAGCCAAACGTATCTCCATCCGTCGACGTCGCATCAAAGTCGTCGCTGCCGCGCATCAAGTTGCCGCCGTTTTCTGGCGCCTACACTGATTGGCCGTCATTTCGTGATCTCTTCCTGTCCGTTGTGAGCAGCAATTCCATCTCAAACATCGAGCGTCTTCACCACCTCCGCTCGTGTTTGACAGGTCAGGCTGAAAAATTGATAAGATCACTACCTGTCACAAGTGACAATTACGATCGCGCTTGGGCAATCTTGAACAAGCATTACGACAACAAAAGAGAATTAATCCGCTCCAACTTTGCCACGTTTACCGCCGTGTCAAAGATGAAGGGAGATACCGCCGAGGAGCTGAGCCGCATCCACAACGCTGTCACCGCCGCCATCAATGCACAGGAGAGTATTGGACGTCCTATCAACTCGCACGGGATGGACCTGTTCAATCACCTGGTCATCGAATTGTTCGACGCCCGCATTCGTCTCGAATGGGAGTCAGCCACGTCAGACTCCACCGAACCACCACAGAACGAGGCACTTCTCGACTTTATTAGTCGACGGGTATTGACCCTCAACGCTGCACGACCGAGGAGTGTCACAAAAGGACCTGGAGAGGCATCGCGATTCGCCAAAGCGCACGTCACCAGACATCAAGGCACAGATTCGCCTCATTGTGCACTGTGTCGTGAAAAACATACACTGATGACCTGCAAGGAGTTCAAGGCCAAGACCGCGGTCGAACGGAAAACATTCGTGGAGACCAACCGACTGTGCTTCAACTGCCTGGGCAATCACTTCTTGTCACGGTGTCAATCGAAGAAGAATTGCCTCACTTGCAACGCACGACACCACACCATGCTGCACGGGGCATCCACGTCATCACCGTCCGCTGAGGCCACTTCACTTGCCACCACACTGGCCACCTCACGGCAGTGTGAGAGTCACAAGGCCGTCCTTCTTGCAACTGCCCGCGTCGCGGACCGCTACGGATCACCACACGAGGTTCGAGTCTTGATCGACCAGTGCTCCGAGGTGTCCATCATCTCTGAAGCGCTGGCTCAACGTCTTCGTCTTCCTCGAGCTTCAACAAATCTGTCCATCTTTGGCATCGGAGGGACTCGCTCTGGATCGGCTCGTGGCAAGGTCACCCTGGACATCACTTCCGACGTGACCAACGCCGAGCTTTGCGTGGTCGCCTTTGTGTTGCCTCGCATCTCACTACAACAAGGCACCGCTCAACGCGAGAATTGCAGCTGGCCTCACATCCAAGGACTCCGGTTGGCCGACCCGCGGTACCTGGATGACGACCCTGCGGAGCTACTTCTTGGTGCAGAGGTCTACTCGTTAATTCTTGAGGAAGGCCTTCGCAAGGGCGACTCACGCATGCCGATCGCCCAGCAGACCAGCTTGGGATGGATCCTGTCCGGAGGCTACGACTCAGCAGTCACCGACGGACATCGCCGCACGTTTCAGTGCACCGCCGACAACGACCTTGCTGACCTGGTGCGACGATTCTGGGAGCAGGAACGCGAGCCAGCAGCTGGGATCGTGCTCACCGCCGACGAAGCCAGATGCGAGGACCTCTATGTGCGCACAGTCACACGCACATCCAGTGGAAGATACGTGGTAAGGCTGCCATTTGCCTCACCGCCGACATCACTCAGCGAGACTCGTCGACCTGCAGAGCGCCTCCTGGAAGCGATGGAGCGGAAGGGAGCCCGTGATGCTCGGTTCGGTGATCTCTATCGAGACTTCATGGATGAATACGAAAACCTGCAACACATGGAGAAGGTTAGTACGTTTACGACAGGTTCTGGTCCCAGGTGCTACTTACCGCATCACGGGGTCCTCAAGGAGTCGAGCACGACCACGAAGCTCAGGGTTGTGTTCAACGGCTCCCAACGCACACGGTCCGGAGAGTCGCTGAACTCGCACCTCCTCACTGGAGCTAACCTCTTGCCAGCACTCGCTGACGTCTTACTCCGTTGGCGTTGGCATCGGTACGTTTTCGTCACGGACATCGAGAAAATGTACCGACAAATTCTTGTTCATCCGGAGGATTGTCGCCTGCAAACCATCCTGTGGCGCCACAACAGCTCAGACAACATCTGCGAGTACGAGTTGAAGACCGTGACCTACGGACTGGCGTGCGCACCCTTCCTCGCCATCAGGACGCTTCACCAACTTGCTGCAGACGAAGAGGCACGATATCCACGCGGAGTCAGGGCGCTGCGACAAGACTGTTACGTCGACGACGTGGTCACCGGTGCTGACAGCCTGGCGGATGCCATCAAACTCCAACAGGAACTACAGAGTCTCTGCATGGCGGGCGGATTTCCTTTGCGAAAGTGGGCTGCCAACAACCAGCAGGTGCTCACCGGAATTCC